CCGCTTAGTCAAACAGCAGGCAGCAGGGATGTCTGTCTCCCTCATGCCAGTGCGGGTGCCCAGCCTAGGGAGGCAAGGCGACACTCTGGACAAATAGACCTCCGACGCGGGCACGCCACGTCCACCAGCTTGTCTCCCACCCACGGTCCTCTTTCCCACACTGTGGCTGGAGGCATCATCCATAGACTGGGTAAGGAAGAACCTCAAACACAAGACAAGCACACACCAGAGCCGCTGAACACTGAGGAGAGCACTGCCATGACCGGGACGCAGAGCACAGGAAACGGACTGACACCCAGAGAAACAGCAAGCAGAGCACACGGACGAAGCACAGTTAATCTCAGAGAGCTGTGCGAGGACACCGTGTGAGGCCTTAGAAATAAAACATGGGATGCTCAAAAGGATACTCAAAAGGGGGCTTCTGGAGCATGATCAGACTGGACGTAGGTCAATAATAGCATATTAGGTGAATTGGAAAATCGAATTGAGGACTTCATCTAGAATGTCCCGCAGAAAGAAGAGATAGAAAACAGAAAATAAAAGTGAAGATACATGAAGAATAGATTCAGAAATGTTAATACCTTTTAAACAGAAGCTCCAGAAAGAGGGACTAGAGAGGTTGGATGTGGGGAACGCTAAGATTAATAGAGAAGGAAATTTCTCAAGTCTGCAGAAGGCAAAAGTCCTCCTCCTGAAGGGACCCACTTCATGACAAGCAGAACAGAAAATGATAGACCAGCTGGGCTGAAACTTAGAACATGAAGGACGGAGAAAAGGAAAACAGATTACTCATAAGAGAAAGCAGACTAATATTAGATTTAGCTACAATACTGCGTGTTGGAAGATCTTCAGAGACCCAGGGGAAATATTTTTAGAGATCTAAGGGACACATGTTTGAATCAGCTAAAGCTATCATTCAAGTGTGAAGGTAAAATATGCACATGCAATTTCAGACATCCACAGATGAGAAAATGAGTCACCTTCCATCTTACCTGTAGGAGGATGCACTTCAACACAATGAAAATAAATCCAAGAGAAAGCTACAGATTCGAGAAGCAGTGGTAAGTAAAGGAATTAGTAGAATTTGCTGCTAAGTCTAAATAAGTAATAATGGAACTGGAACTAAAAGTTCAAATGGCATTAACATTACAGGTGGGGAGGAGAAGGAGAGGATGGAAGTCCAAGTGGGCCAAGGTTTGTACTTTGCTGAGCATAATGACAAGGGGCACTATACTCACATAGGCTATGAAGGGAAAATGAAATAATGGTCAGATGTTGGAGTTAAAATTTAAAGGTAAGCACTTAATCAGAAATTAAATGAAGAAGAGCCAATTGATAAAAAAGGAAAACCATGGGGAAAAATAGAAAGCATGGTACATATATTAATATAAAACAATATGGCAGAAACAAGCTTTGACATGTCAGTAATCACAATAAATGGGAATGGTTTGAATTGTCCCATGAAAAACAACAAATCAGGAGGAAAAGAAATCCTTAAAATGCAGCTACATGCTATTTCTGAGATACAAAGAAAAAAATGACAGAAAAATTGAAAATGAAAGGATGGAAAAAAGATACATCAAATATATGCTAAAAAAAAGGTAACAAGTCTAATAATGTCATAAAAATGGATTCAAGGCAAAACAAAATTAAAAGGAAAAAAGAAAGTATTTCATAATGATATAACAATTATGAACTTTTATTCAGCTAACAACCTTACATCAAAGTATTGGGAGAAAAGCGCACCATGCTGTTTTGTTTACTATAGCCTTATAGTATAGTTTGAAGTCAGGTAGCATAATGCCTCCCGCTTTGTTCTTTTTGCTTAGGATTGTCTTGGCTATATGGGCTCTTTTTTGGTTTCAGATGGACTCACAGGAAACTGATCACAGTGCCTACTCCCAGGGAAAGAATCTGGGTGATTGGGGGATGAGAAGAAGAGACTGTTCTTCTACTCTATGCCCATTGGTACCTCTTAAAATAGATATTCCTTTGACTCAAAAAGGACACAAAATGCATAGGTACTGGAAAGGAAGAGAACTGTTTTATTAGCAGATGGTACAACCTTCTACCTGGATAACCCAAAAACATTATTTGGCAAATGATTAAAATTAATGAAGGAATTTAGCATGCTGGCCAAGTTACAATAGCAACAAGCTAACGTAGGCCTCTCCTATGTTCCAGCAATAATCAAGTTGAAAATGCCACCGCCACTGCCACAGTACGCTATTAGGGATTTATTTTCTTGAGCAGGCTGCTCTTTCAAAATGAAGCTTTCCAGAAAAGCCGTCTGGAATCTCCTGATGCCTCAGCTTGAACGTCTGTCTCTGGAGTGGCCAGGGCAGATGGGAGAGCCTAGCCCAGGGTGGAACCAGGGAGGAGGGAAGGGGTTCAGAGCGGATACAGCCAGGGGCTGTGGAGACCTTGGTTCTGCCTTGAGTCTCCCTCGCCCCGGAAGAGTTGCTGTTTTAGGCAGGACTAAGTGCTGGTACCCAGAGTGGGGGGTCTGGGAGGCCCCCGGAGGAAAGCCAAGAGGGCATGCAGCCACAGTCATGGGACCCTGCTGTCGGGCAGTGGGAAAGGTGGCTGTGGCCAGCCGTCCCTCCAGACCTCGGCTTGCCCGAAGTGCATGACTGAGCGCAGGGCAGAGTCCGAGGAAGGGAGGGTGCATCCCAGCAGAAGGGCTAATGCCTAAGCCAGTGGCTGTCAATCTCTGGTGCCCGCAGGGCCACTATGGGGTGAGGGGTGGAGGTGGGGGTGGGATATCTGCTTAAAAGGCCAGTGGGCAGCCCCAGAAGCTGACAGTGAGAAAGGCAGAGCAGAAAGATGTGCAAACCCCTGGGATTGTGTCCCCACCCCGCCGCCCCCACCCCCACCCCCACCTCCACCCCTGCCCCCACCCCTGGCGTCCTGTTGCTGTGAGGCCGAATGCCCTAGTGCTTGAAGTCCATTTGGGCGAGGGTTCATGACAGGATGTTCTCAAAGGTGTTCCTCCTCATCGACTGGTGCTGCAGCCTAACTGGGCTCAGCCTGCCTGCTGGGTGAGCGGTGGTGACCAGTGACCTGCGTCCCGCCCTGAACTTGGAAGACAGCCATCTGCGAGTGCGGCTGAGGAGATGTGGCCAGCACTGCCAGGTGGGCCTCTGTCCCGTGGCCGGCAGGGCAGGCCATGCCCACACCTCCACGCGTGTGAGTGGCTCTCCGGGAGGTGGCCTCAAGGAATGGGTTGCCCCCAAAAAAGCTGATGTGACAGACACGCCATGAGTGGCAGGCTCAGTCCGCAGACACGGTCCTTGTCACACCCTGCCATCTAGGTGAATGTGAGGAATGGAGCTGAAGGAAGCGTGTGAAGAAACCCTGAGAGGGAGCGTCAGGACCTGGATGTAGCTCCAGGACAAGGGCCGTGGAGTTTGGCCAACCATTACCCTTTGCACTGAGTTGGTGTCACCCAGAACTTCCGAGTGGTCATCTGGCTTCCTGTGGCAATGCCCCTGCTGCGAGAGGACGCAGCAGCTGCAGAGAGTGGGACAGGCCCCCAGCAGCAACATTCTCTCTGTCAGTTCATGCGCTGGTGTCTGGCTGGTGCTTGCGTCTGTGATGAGCCCCCAGGCCTGTCCCCTGGGACTGATTGACATCAGGGGCCCTGTGAGCTTGCCAGGGTGAGCCCTCCACAGAGCATGCTGCCCACTCTCAGGCCAGTCCATCTTCTTCTGCTCTCCCAGCACCCCTCTGTGGGCTTGGGCCACGGTGCTGCAGGGGCTCTGAAGGAGGAGGGTGCTTTGGCCCTTGCCTGCAGGGGCAGGTTCCTCCTCAAACTGCCTCCTGTCTTTCTGCAAGAAAAGCAGCTGCAGCCCAGTTCTGCAGGAGATTATTAGTATGTCAGGGACTTCAAAGGCTGAAGGGAAAATTGCCACAAGCCCCATGACCAGCCTCCACTGCAAATTAGGCCTTGCTGGTGACCTAGGCACTGGGGACAGGCAGGTCTGAGGCTCTCAGAGGCTGCCCGCGATGCTGCCCTGGCTTTCAGACCAGGACTGCTCCAGTGTCTCCCAGGTTCATCCTGGGAGTTAGTCAGGCCACAGATGAGATCCCTCAGCTCCCCACACCCCATCTACACTGACCAAGCAATGTCCTTCCTCTCCTGTTTCTCTTCCCTCCCCATGGGGCTAACGCCCCTCCTGCACCCCTGGATCTCCTGTTACATGGCTAAGATGAGGTTCCAGCATTAATCTTTGGGCAGACTTCCAAACTTTCCTTCCCCTATGGCCGGAAATGGACACTAGACCTTCCTGTGAGTCCCTTGGTCACCCCAGCCCTATCTGTTCCATCTTGGGTGTGGAGATGGGGTCAGCAGACTCCCGCTTCCTGCATGGCCCCTTTCAGGCCTTCGCTCTTCCTTCCTCATTCCTCCCCACCCCGTCCTCCTGTACGTGCATCCCATCCCAGGATGCCTCCTCTCTCCATCTTTCCCCGTCTCCCACCCCATGCCCTTCTCTGCTTCTGGATGCCGGGGGCCCTCCCATCCCAGCATCAGGGGCCAGCGTGGCCACTGCTCACATGGCCTCTCGGATGCCCACAATTCCCTGACTTCCCACCTTGCACTGGGCACTGGCAGGCACTTGCCCGCCCCATCGTATTTCTTCTGCATCAGTGGCGGGTCTGCTGTGCCCTAGGCGGCGTCTGACAGGGATCGCTGCATGAACGGTGAGGCCTCCATGATGCTTGGGACTCTCAGGGCCTGGGTTTCAGGGAAGAGGATGAGCAGACCAACTTGTCAAGACAGACGTCCTGCAGTCCTGCAGCATAGTTAGGGGTTGGCGAGCTGGCTGTAGAATGCTAGGCATTGTCTCTAGGTACTTCCTGAGCAGGCAGCTGAAATCTCCCCAGCCCTTCCCATCCTTCCTCCCTCATCCATCCATCCATGAAGCCACATAGCTCAGTGCAGAGTCACTGTTCACAGGGCTACGTGGATACCATGAGTGAGTGGAGTGGACCAGGAAGAGGGTGAAAAGTGGCCTTTGATTCTTGTCTTTGGTGTTGGAGGTACAATAGGGAGTGGTGAGGACTGGGGCAAACGAGGCAGAAGAGTCTGATGTAAAGGCGTCAGCTGCTACCCAGCTCAGCCAGTTATTCCCAGGAGGAAACATAGGCCCAGTGAGGCCTGATGTCCTAATTTTTCTAGAGAATTCAGAAATGTGAGGTTTAATGTTAACTCTTCTGATTGCTAAATGTTGACAACGAATAAAATTTAAAACAGTGAGGAGGCCTCACGTGTGTGAATCAAGCGAAACCTGTGTACGGGCTGAATCGGCCTGGGGTCAGCTTGCAACCTCTGGCATGGGATCCAAACACAGGCATTGCAGTCAGATTTCAGCTTGTCTGACAGCGAGTCACTCAACCACTCCAAACCCCAGTGTCCACCTCTGTAAGATGGGGTGGGATTCACCTACTCCACAGGGCTGGTGTGAAGGTTAGGGCAGATTATGCTTGAAAAGCACTGAGCACAACAGTCACCTAGAGTGCCTGCTCAAGCGCGGGCAGCTGTCATTCTTATCGTCTGTCATGAGTGTCTGCTGTGGCCTGGCCCAGTGGCAGGTGTGGCCTGTGAGGACTCTCCCAAGGCAGGGGCAGTCTCTGCAAGCTGGACGCCTGAGGACGAGGGGGCCTTGCAGTCAGCATCGCGACTTCCCCTTCGCCTCTCCCTCCACCTTCCCATTCCATCCTGTTTCTAGTCTTCTCTGGTTCCTTCTTCTGAAAGTAAAAAGGGGAAAAGGGTATTTTTAAGAAGCAGAACAGAGATTTATTTCCTTTTTAAAAAATCCTATTTAAAGTCCCAGTTTCCAGAAAAGTCAGCGTAAGTCACCGGCTACACGTAGGGAATAAAAGAAGTTGTCTTAGTAGGGCTCAGGGGCTGGGGGTGGGGGGTCCCTTGCACTCAGAAGCCTTTGCCCCTCCAAGTGTGTCTGCTCGGAGGGTGCTCTGGGGGATGAGGCACTGCAGTTGGGGGGCAATTAGGTGAGTGCGGGGCCAGGAGGCCCCTCGATTCCATCTGCACCCATGGCAGACTGTTCCCTTGCTGCTGGAGTCGCCCTCAGTTTCTGTTGTTTGCAACCAGAGGGACTTGTTTTGTTTCAGGGAACAGTGAGTGGCCCACATCCTCACAGACCGAGGAGGGGGTCACTGTGGGTCCCCAGTGGCTCCACTCTGGGTCTGAGCACCTCTGGGTCTCTTCTTGCCTGTTACGGTTTCATGGGGGCTATCGGGCAGGGGTAGGGGCCCTGGGACCTGCTGCACTCCTGCCTGTGTGTGCTGCTCACTCCCATACTCTCTCCTTTTCTCTCTCTCTCTCTGTCTGTCTCTCTCTCCCAGTCTCTCTCTCTCTGTCCATCTCTGTCCCCCAGCACTGTGTTCTCTCACTCCAGGGTGCCTCCACTTCTCACCTTCCACTTCAGTGTCCCTTGCCAACCAGCTGTTTTTCTTTGAGCTTCTCATTTAAAGAAGAAAGGAGCCTGAGGGAAGAGGTCTGCAGACACGTCTTACCATTCGGGCTGAGCGCCATCATAACTCATGTCTGGTGCTGGCCTGCTCATGCATCGGTTGCCCGAGACAAGAATATTTATTTTACAGAATTGTCTGACGAACACACATTTACTCCTAGCCCCAATGCATTCACGTCTGTATCCTTAGAGCCAGGTTCACATCAGCGTTCAGTAATTACCTGTTAAGTGGATTTGTTTGTGAGTGGTGGGTGTAAGCATCCGTGAAGAGTGTTTTTGCTACAAGAAACAGAAAATCCTTTTGCTAGAGGCCTAGTCATGGAACAGGAGCGCCCAGTCAGGGAACTGGCTACACTGGTCCGTCAAGCCCTGATGTCCGTGTGACCTTGTCTGCAGGCCTTTGCTCTTGCTCGTTGCCTCCTGATTGCAAAAGACCTGCTGCAGCTCCAGACATTGTATTTGTGTTCAAGGCAGCAGGGAGGGGGAAGAGAAGGTACCAGCTGCATATTTCCCTTTAATCAAGCAAAGCAGGCCAGGTGTGATGGCTCATACTTGTAATCCCAGCACTTTGGGAGGCCAAGGCGGGAGAATCACTTGAGGCCAGGAGTTCAAGACCAGCCTGGACAGCTTAGTGAGCCCCTCCCCCCATCTCTACAAAAAATAAAAACATTAGCTGGGTGTGGTGGCATGTACCTGTGGTCTCAGCTACTTAGGAGGCTGAGGTAGGAGGATTGCTGGAGCCTGGGAGGTTGAGGCTGCAATCAGCCATGATTGTGCCACTGCATTGCAGCCTGGGTCACAGGGTAAGACCCTGCCTCTGAAAAAAAAAAAAAAGGGAAGAAAAAACAAACCTTTCCCAATCCTGGAAGATTTTCACTCAAGTCTCATTTCCCAGAGCTGTGTCAAATGTCCACTCCGCTGCAGGAGAAGCTAGCAAAGCAAGTCTCTGCCTTTCCCAGGCTCTTTAGGGGAGGTGGCAAGGGACAGGGGCTGAAATCCTCACTTTCCTACCTGCAGTCTGCCTTAGGTCCTCCTGCCCTCCTCTTTCTGATGGGACTGTGCAGTAGAGGCATTCTGGGGGCTTGTCAGGAATGTGCCTGGAATACAGTACACGACAGAGGAAGGCCAAGTGCAGAATGTGGGCCTGGGGCAGGAGGTTGGTGTTATCGGAGGTGTGACCCTCAGCTAGTTCCCTCCCTGGACCTTGGCTTTTGTCTCCGTACCGAGCTGTTGGATGCGGTGGCGTCTGAGAGCCCCTGTAGATCTTATGGTCTGGCTTCGCGAGGTCCTGTGTGGAGGCCAGAGGGAAAGAACAGAGTGAAGGACAAAGAGAAAAAATACGCATGTGTCTGAGGATATATGCGTCGACAGAGATATATTTGTAGGCAGCGGGAACCGAAATGTTAGATTGAAGCATCCCCCGTGCTGGGTCAACCAGATGGAAGTGAGCAGGCTGTGGTTATGTGTGTGGCCTGAGCAGCAGCGCTCAGCACCCCTGATGTGGCTTTCAGGCTCAGAATGGCTGTAGCAGCCATGGCTGGACCAGGGTTTTGAGGGGCACAGGGCAGCATGGGCAAACAGTTCACTCTGTCTTGGGAATGCGTCGGGGCATCGGGGCTCCTTCCTCTCTGCCTTTTCTTTCTAGGGAGGCACTGATTTATTATTAGTCCTGAATCAGAACATTTGTTCTTTACTCAGCTTGTCTGTGTTTTCTGCTCTTTCTCAATTTGGACACGTATTATTCAAAATTGAAAAAAAAAAAAAAAACACCTCACACACAACAGAAGATATATATGTAAAATAAATCAAATCTTAACCTCATCATACGTTTAAATACCGCTCACCTTCAGGTCACCTGCAGTTACTAGTTGACTCACAAAAGCCAAGTCTGGGCCTGTGGTCGTATTTGTCATCTTTTAGAGGAAAAACTTACCACTTATTCCAAATGTGGAAGTGTGGGCTTAAATTATATTTAAAAATGGCTTGTTAAAATATTATTATTTTTAATTTGTGAGAATGATACAGGTTCATTATAAAGAACTCGTTTATAAAAATATTAAAAAACTAAATTTATAAATTGTTAAAAACTAACTTTGTACATTTTCTTGCTGTTCAGGAAAGAAGACTACAACAAACTTCACTGTGACATGTTTACTTGAAACTATGGCCTAAATGGTTTTATTATGTCTTTTAAAGGTATATAAATATAAAATTAAGCATAAACTTCTTACACTGATAGCTCTTACAATACTATAAAACCAAAGCAAATTTAGAAATCATGTATAAACAATTATACAACACCAATAAAATACAAAAGAACAACATGAATTTAACATGAGGGCTGATAATGTTTTAATGAAAGTGAACAATTTATAATATCACTAGCAGGCATAAGGCTTTCTTTTATTGTTTTGTTTTTGTCTTTGTTCAGCAGGTTTAGTATTCTGACGTATTCCAAGGTCAAAAAGCGAAAAACAAGTCTTAAACGTCACTTGCTAGTTTTAGTCCTCCAAGTAATATCAGTGTTGTCATTTTGAAACTATTTGATGCATGTTGTAGGTGAAAGTAAATAAGTAAAAATACTAACCGAAACTAAGATTTTTCAGCTTGAGGGAAAAGAGATATGAAGATAAAATTTAAAAAAAGTTAAAGGGGAAGAAACTCTATAATATGAAAGCTGAATTGGAAATATTAACATGGCTTTTTAAATGTCAACTTTCTGCAAACTACCTGGACTGGGTGACTCATAAACAACAGATATTTACTTCTTACAGTTCTGGAGGCTGGGAAGTCCAAGATCGAGGCACCAGCAGGTTTGGTGTCTGGTGAGGGCCCACTTTCTTGTTCCTAGATGGCCGTTTTCTCTCTGTGCCTTCACAGATGGCAGAAGGCAGAAGGGAGCTCTCTGAGGTCTGTTTTGTATGGGCACTAATCCGATGACCTAATGACCTCCTAAAGACTCCATCTACAGATCCTCTCCATGGGGGGATAGGATTCCAACATATGAATTTTGTCAGGGGACACAAAGATTTAATCTATATCAATGAACCTGAAGTATGTCAGGAAAAAAGGGAACGTTCTGTGTTGGAAAATTTCGTGTGTCACCTTAGACTATGGTGCCCAGTCGTTTTGTCAAATAGGAGTCTAGATGTTGCCATGAAGGTGTTTTGTAGATGTGAGTAACAGCTATAATCCATTGGCTTTAAGTAAAGGAGTTTACCCTTGATAGTGTGAGGGGGCCTCATCCTATCAGTTGAAGGCCTCAAGAGCAAAAACTGGGGTTTCCTGGAGTAGAAGCCATTCTGCCTGATTGTAGCATAGAAACCCTGCCTGCATGTCCAGCTTGCTGGCCTGCCCTACAGGTTTCAGACTTGCCTCCCTCCACAAATGTGTGAAGCAAGTCCTTAAAAAAAACACATATGTGTGTATATATATGTATATATGTACATGTATCTCTCTCTCTCTCTCTCTCTCTCTCACACACACACACACACACACACACACACACCCCTCCTTTGGGTTCTGTTTCTCTAGGGAACCCTCACTAAATCACTTTCAAAGACTAATAGGGACATACCAAAGGGACAAGGAACCAGCTAGAAGGGATTCCCGCTGGCCAGATTTGAGATAATATGAGCATCAAAAAGAATAAGGACTGAATTGCTTGGAAACATAGAATAAATAGAAACCCATGAGTCCATAGCAAGTTTAAAAAGAAAGAGAGAGAAAGAAAGAGGGGAAACCCATCTCGTTTGCCCCCATCGATGACTATTCTATCAATTCCTTATTCTGGAAATAAAGAGAAGGAATGAAGCATTTATACTATCTTTTTAGCAAGGCTGCATTTTAGAAAGATTGACAGAATTAGAAAATAACCACTTGGCAAACCCTGGTGAAATAACTCATTTGGAAATCGATCCTCCAGAGATGGGTAAGCCACTGGTTAGAGCATGCTGGGGGTCAGGATACTCGCATGGTGCCACATGACCATCCCACAGCTCATCTGCTAATTGCAAGACGAAAATAAACCTTGACGACGGAAGGAGCAGGTTGTCACCAACTCTGCCAAGTGATCAACCCGAGTCTCATTAACAACGGGACCAGCTGACATTAGGCACCTCCTGTTGTGATGCAGTGTGAAGTGTGTCTGCTGGAAAGGATCCAGAGCTGACTTCCAGTTTGTGATAAGTCCAGGGGAGCAAGTTAAACCAAAGGCCAAGGAAAGAACATGCAGAATATGGAACATTCTTTAAGAAAACTGACCTGGTTTCCTCAAACAGGTAGTATCATACCGTCTCAGAAGCTGGTGGGGGCTGTTCAAAACAGCCTAAAATATCCCAGCAACAAATCCAATGTGTGAACCTTAACTGAATCCTGTTTTTAAGACACCAGTGTGACAACTGGTAAAGTTAAATTAAATTTAATGTGGATTAGATATTAGATAATAGACATATTATTGTTAAATTTCTAAGGCATGATAATGGCAGTGTGTTTATGTAGAAACTCTTAGGTGATGCACACTGAAATCTTTATTTATGTATTTATTTATTTATTTTGAAACGGAGTCTCCCTTTGTTGCCCAGGCTGGAGTGCAGTGGTGCGATCTTGGCTCACTGCAACCTCCACCACCCAGGTTCAAGCGATTCTCGCCTCAGCCTCCTGTGTAGCTGGGATTACAGGCGCACGCCACCCTATCCGGCTAATTTTTGTATTTTTTAACAGAGATGGGGTTTTGCCATGTTGGCCAGGCGGGGTTTGATCTCCTGACCTCAGGTGATCCACCGGCCTGGGCCTCCCAAAGTGCTGGGATGACAGGCGTGAGCCACTATGCCTGGCCCACACTGAAATCTTTAGGAGTGAAGTGTCACCTGCAATGAACTTTCAAATGGTTTGTATATCTATTGATAATAAATGTATACTTTTTCACCACAGATATGTGTGACAAAGTGGTCACAACTGTTGCATGGAGGTCATGGGTGTATGAGTGTTTGTTGTGTTATTTTTTCCATTTATTTACTTTCAGATTTTCCATTAGGAAAAGTTAGAAAAAAATCGGTAAAACCCATAAAATAAAAATAACAACATAAATTGAATGTGATGAAGGATATTGCTTTATTATCCTCTTTGCAGAGGCACAGGCTGTAGCTGGCATGCCCGTAGAACTTGCTGTCAGGAGAAGACTCAATTCTCCAACTACTTTACCCAAACTATTGTGAAGCCTTTTTAATGGGGCATTATGAAGTTGTTCGGCCTTCTCTTGACGCCAACTTTGACATTATGAAATCTGTCCTGTTCTCTTATATTTACCTTGAGACACAGAATTCTGGTTGGTGCCAGTACGATCTCAAACAGAAACTGAAATTCCACGCAGATGTGGCCAACAAGACCTTGCTGTCATGTGGTCAGGCAGGTAATCCAGGGCGCCTGCACCAATTACCTACTTTGCCTCCCTCTACACTCTCAGCAGGGTGGTCAGAGTGCGGTGTCTGCTTTAATACTCACTTTCCCAAATCTCCTTGTTGCTAAGCATGGTGTGTGACCCAGGTCTGGCCAACAGGATGAAAGCAAAAGGCACTCATTGGATGGGGCTTCTGGATATCTGTACAACGGACACCCTTGGGGGGCTGTCGCTTTGACTCTTTACTTTTTGCCCCTCCCCTCTCCCTAATTAATGCAGGAGGCACAGCAGCTGTCCTGCAGCTGTGAGGACAAATCTCTCACAAACTGTTATCAGAGAGACTGAGTTGGAAAACGGAAGGAACCTCTGTCCTTGGTGGCACCCTTGCACAGTTGCATCTGCCCAAGGCTACCTTTCTGCAGACTTATTATTATGTGGGAAAAATAAACTCGTGAGTGTGTAATCCAGTGTTCATTGACTTAACTTACAAAAAAGATATTCTCAAATGATTCACTCAGAAAATACTGATGTTAAATGTTTAGATGATAATATATGGCATGAATATGGATGCAAAAATTCTTAATGAAAATATTAGCAAATAGGTTCAGCAGTATATACAACGGTTATACATGATACCAAGTGGGATTTATTCCAGCAAGGCTGGTTTAATATTCAATCATATGATCCTATCAACTGATCTAGAAAAAGCACTTGGCAAAATTCAACATTTGTTTATGATGATAACTTTCAGAAAACTAGAAATTTAGGAGAACTCCCTCAAGTTGACAAAGAACATCTACAAGGAACCTACAGCTAATATACTTGGTGAAAGACTGGTGCTTTCTCTTAACATTGGGAACAAGGCAAGGATGCCCACTCTTACCACTGCT